GTGATTCTTCTCATATTTTAATACTTACTGACGATAGATTAGAAGAAACATCAGTGTTTGGAGTATCGGGCAAATGTATACCGGGCAGTGTTACTTGACATTAAAAAAACATCAGTGTAAGGTATACCGTGCTAGGAAACGTAAGAAGGAAAAGTATAAATACATTTTAAAGTTACTTTGCATGATTATTATATGCTTCCATAATCAATTTGTTCAAATATACTTTTGTGTTCATATGCACGAATAGAAAATGTTGAATATTGTTTTAAAATTGAAATATTGATATTTTTAAATAACTTATTTTTTTCTTCCAATTTCAAATCTTATTAATTTTTTTCTACCTCCTTTTTATCAAATATTTTAAATTCTCAAAATTTTGTGTTTTAATTAAAAGATGTATAGAATGAAACATATGAAAAATTTAAAACTTTAAATTTCCAATACATTTTTTTTATCGTCATTACTTTAAATATTTTTCTAATATTTTAAAATTTCATTCTTTCACGGGAAATGCATCTTACAGTTAAACAGGGAAATACTAAAGAGTTGTTCCTCATTGGAGTCTAGTATATATATTTCTTAATTAGTAGCCTGTTTCTAATATGGTTGCTCAATATGCAGAGGTCGGATAAATTAGTCCGGATATATGTTTTAAGCATGCTTTTATCTCGATTGCTATTGAGGCGAGAAAAAATAAAAATAAAATAATACTAACCATGGAAGGCTTTCGAGGTTTTCCGCCAATTGTAACGCAAATGCGGGTTAGTTCCATCAAAACGTCCTCCACGATGGCAAAATTTCTCCGAAATACTTGATCTAGGAATTCCCTTGTCTTCTGTATTGAGTTCAAAATTACAAGGCTACGGAGTTGAACATTAGTAGTCATATACCCCTCCCCCCCAAAAAAAAATAATTGGGTCGACTGTTTAACGACGGTTATAAAATTAAAATAAAATAAAATGACAATGTCATGTGTAAGTGCAGCATTTATCCAAAATATTGCTTTAATTTTTCTTTCTTTTTTAATATTGGCATACTTATGCATTCTAGATTTATTTAATAATTATTCTTTTTAAAAAATTCGGACGTATTTTACCTCTTTCAGCGATAGTATTTCAAGCGAGCATCTGAGCACCTTCATAAACTTGTCACAATCCTCGAAATACTCTCCACTTGTCACAATCCTCGAAATTTCTACGGACACAACTTGGTGGAACTTCTGAAAAACGAGCATCTCAAAAAACATCATTTTTTGGACGGTAAAATGAAAGCATTCTTTTCAAAAGGTCCTAGGGAACATAGTTACGCTCCTTTAAAATATATCGCTGGTTCAAAACTAAAACGACACTTCAGCATTCACTTCTCGTTGAAATAACATGAGAAGTGCGTGCAGAAGTGTCGTTTTAGTTTTAACCAGCGATATATTTATATATTTAAATATATATTATAGCGCGTTGCATTTATATTCTCGCCAATAAAATTAATCTAATAAATTGGATCGATTTTATCTTATTAAAAATAATATATTTAAAAAATATATATTTAAAAAAAAAATAGTGCGTGGAGTCCCTCCGCGCGGAAGAAGTTAAACTTCGCAACCTACGACGTAAATTGTCGATGAATCAGCAGTCGTAGAAGGGTCACTAGTTCTATTCAACGACTCTTTTTCCTCCTCCGCTCGCTTCCGTGCTCTGTAATCACGGTAATATTGCACATTTTTCCCTCTTGAACCAGTGGAAGTGCTTGTGGTGGCCTCATCATCTCGCCATGGAAAATGTATTTGTATTAATAATGTATGTGAATGCGTCATAATGTAATTTCAAAAGAGAAAACCTAACAATCAATTGATATTCACAAGAGACGTACCTTGACATAACCTTAAATCCGTCGCATTGTCCGTGGGATTGTTTTCATGCATTTTTTACAATTGTTATCCACTAAATTTGAAAATAAAAAATACTATTCTATTAATGTATCAAATCAAACTAAAAAAATATTTATAGAAAAACAATACTTTTGTGACTTTTTTTATTTTTATGCTAGTGAGAACCAAAACAATATGGAAATGAATGGGGGAAAACTGGATCCTACCACGTGATTTCCCGGCCAATAAAAATGTAGCGTCAAACGTTTAACGCAACCTTGTTGGAAGTCGCATAAGAAGTATAACTTCAAAAATCTTTAACTCAAAGTATTCCTGTTAACGCTGAAACATTATCACAGCTTACCAGTGGCGTGATTGAATTACATATGATTAATTCTCACTTCATAAATAATTTTTCTTTGCACCATGCTTGCTTGCTATGCTTTGAAAGTATTAACCAACGTGATGCATACGAAAACTTCTTTTTAATAATAAATGATAAGCAACAGATTATTTTGAAAAGTTGCTGAAATGTTACAAGCAAAAAACTGAATTTCTAAACAGTCATTTCATTCATTCTTAATCAATTCAAATTTTTAAGCCTCATATCTTCCTGGTTTATTTATTTTATAAAGATTGTCTAAGCCAGCAATTTTTTTTCTCCAACTGATAGGCAATCAAAGACGGGAAAATGATAGTAAGAGACCATATCATTTGACCTCTACCCTCCAATGGTTTCTTACTTCACACTATCTATTCTAAATATGTTCTCTGAATGTAGATATTCGAAACATAGATAGTCTCAGCGATTAAGAGTGTTCCATATCTCCACAGATGTTTAAGTAAGTGGACAGTTATCAAAGATTTTCATTTTTATCCTTTTTGAAGTTGAGATTTCGGGGAACGAAAATGATTCAACTGAATTTAGCTTTCTTTGTTTTCGGACTATTATTTTGTGTTACGTCTACGTGTAAGTATATCTTTAGTTTCCAAGACTTCTAAAGATTTTTTTTTATCGTACTGTCATTTAAAACACTATGCATCAATCTGCATTGTTTAAAATATTCTGGATTTTCTTTGGTTATTATGGCAAATTGATGACTAGTCACGCGAAAGTAAAAACAAATAATAATTTGATAACAGAAACGTTTAATATATTGCGCTGATTACTGAACATTAATGCTTTAATGCCTCACAATATTTAAATTGGTAACAAAGTAAAACAGATAAGCAGAATTATTTTTTTATAAGCAGATTACTTCTTTGTCGTATAATCATTCATACTAATTATTAATTATTTTAATATTTTTCTAATTGTAAATCGATTAATTTCGAATAACTCTATAGAAGTTCTGTGCTTTTGGCAAAAACTTTTTCCAGTTAAAAATTCAAAACACTATTGGTAGTTGAAGCAAGAAGTTAGTGGTTGAAGTAAAAATTTTCATTATGGGGTAATTATAAACCAGGTAAAATAGCATAAAGTGATCTCATCAATATGAGTATATTTAATGCAACGGAATGGCTTTTGATTCCACTTTATTTTTTGTCACATCTAATCCACATGTAGTTTTTCTTCGAGTTGAAGATATTTAGTCTGAAAGTATCTATCTTGTAGACTTACAAACTTATATTATTCATTTATGAAATTCTCTTCTTCAACTTTCAATTCTACATTTTGCCAGCGTTCGAACGAACCGCCGTACAATTATCAAGCTGACATAATTTTATTTCTTTACTTGCTGCCTATGGCATCACTTCCTACATCAGAAAGACTCCACCCGGTTTCTTATAAGTAGTCTGCGCAGATTATTTAAAAAAAGCCCCACTTGTGCACATGGACCCAAATTCTATTTTAGAAGTACTTGAGATAAATTTATTATATATATTTGAGAGTTGAATCTGTAGTGGTTGACAAGTAAATAAAACAAATAAATTATATTCATAAATTAAAAAAATTTTTAGGCATATATTTGTTACCACTTTCTAATTTTTAATAGATTTCATATTAAATGGTTCTCTCACGAATTGGTTTACCTTCATAGTGGTCTAATCGGACTACCTACAAAAAACCATGTGGAGGCTTTCAGTTGTAAATTTTAATTATGTAGAATATTAATTATTTAGAGATTTAATTGTGCTCGTTTTCCGTTTGTTTATGGTGTTTTGTTTCCTGTTTTTTAATTATATTTGTTTTTCATTGTTTCGTTGTGTCCCGTTTTTTCTTAGTTAGTTTTCTGTTTTTCATTGTTTTTTTTTGTTGTGCATTTTTTCCGTTTTTTAACATTTAATTCTTTTTGTTCATTCTGCTTTGTATTTCTTCTTTTAATTGTGTTTTTTTTTTATTTGTTTACGGTTGTTTTTTTTTTTTAATATTTGAATTTAGTTTGATTTCCTAATTTATTATTCCCATTTTCTTGGTATTGTTTTTCAGTTCTCTTTCAATCATTCGTTTTTGCATGTTTCTTACACTTAATTTTAATTTTGAAACAATGTAATTTTTCCAAGTTTTCTTTCAATCTCCGGAGAATTGAATAATTTTTAACACGTTATGGCATGTTATTTTAATACAACATGTTTTAGTTTTTATAGGATTATTTTGCTCAGTTGTCCGAGTGATTAGGGCCCGTTTGGATGTTTTTAACATGGTTAATCGAGTGTGAGTACCGCTGGTCATATTTAGATGCTGACATATCAAATTGGAGTAATTTTGAAGACTACAAAACTTTTGCTGTAAGTATAGCATTACAGACTATAAATTAAACTATTTATATGCTGTTGAAACAGATTTTCGCTGCCTTGGGCATAAAATAGTTAACTTCTGACCCTTCTTGTTTTTGTCAAAATCCGATATAATACTCTTCATTATTCTGTTCTGAGTTCCGAAAAATAATTTCGTATTCCAAAGAGTTCATAAAAGTTGGAGTTCCGCAGTGGACTGATCGTTAAGACACGGTTCTCAACAGATCACCGAAGTCAAGCATCACTGGTTGCGGTCAGTGTGCGGGAGGGTGACCACTTGGATCAGTCTGCGTAGGGACCGAGGGTGTGCGGTATGGGTCCTCGTTAAACTGTTCTACCGTAAAGTGCTCTACTTCGTGTGCAGGTGATTGGGCTACCGAAGCGGGGGTGCCATCCCCTCTGCAGAGGATCAAAATTGTGATGGCATGTCTTCGGATCATCCTCAGGGATGTTTCCCAGACCGTCGCCAATAGCCCATTGTGCTGCTCTAGTGCGACGTAAATAAACTGCAACATAAAAGTTGGAAGTGCCAGCAGCATTCTCGTTTTATTTATATTTTCATAAAGATCAAATTGAGAAAACAAACAATAATGTATAATTTAGTTAAATGAATAACAGGGTAAATAAAAATTAGAATTTCCGATTCTTTTTAAGATAACGTAGTACCGGAATATACGCTCTATAACAAAAAAATCGACGCTAAAGACTATACGTCCCCAGTCGGCATCATTCCAGCCTGATCTGTTCAAAACATTCATGCATACGAAATTTCAAAGCAATCGGATGATTGCTTCTTGGTGGGTCGATTTTTTTGTTATAGAGTGTATTGAGCTGAAATGTTCCTTCCTTTGTATATTTCACTCCTTTTTTTAGATAGTTAAGGGGAGAAAAAAAAGTTAATATAGTATAAACTTTTTAACTGTTAACTTTTTTAACATTAACAATTTTGTGTCGATATTTTTCATTGTTAGTGTCTTCCATCCCTTAAGATTAAACTCTCCTTCTTTAACCCTTTCGCGCCGACTGTCACAAATACGTGACAGCATGAAACCGTATCAATCAGGGTAAAAATATAAAACTGGTAATCAAAGTATTTCTTTAGCAGTTTATTTGTGGGCGGAGTTATAATTGTTTGATTTATTTAATTCACCATTACTTTGTTCAAAATAAAACTATTTAGTTATACTTTGAATTAACATTGATTATAAATATGTTTAAACTAACAATAATTAAAGTAAAAGCAAAGTAAGTTTGTCAAATTAGCAACGACTACATTTAAATTACCGTTTTTTATTTAATTACAACTTGATTCTGATTTTGCATGAATGCTTTTCTGAATCACCCGTCCCCAAGGGGTTAAGAATGAACTAAAATTAGTCACGAATTTCTAATTTTGTAGCAATTTGTAAATTGAATAAAATGTGTGTTATCTCTGCAAACGTCTTCACTATAAACTATCTTAAGAAATAACTTAAACGTCAAAAAGGAAAAATATCTAACTATATGGAGCCGGTCAAATAAAGCATGTGTCTTTCTTCTTTTAACTTTGGACACATAGTCACCGAAAATAAGCAAATCACTTCCTATGCTTATTTAAGAAAGTAATAAAGCATTGTCTTGCTCTAATTTTAGCTATTCCTGGAGTAGACTAATTTTAGAATTCGAATGAACTAGGTAACTTTTCAAAAAGTAAAATTAGTAGATATTTCAATTCATTTCATAAGATTTTGAAAAGAATATTCATTATTTCTGTTTTTCTGTTAAAAATCTTGATCGGTGAATCACATAACAGGAATTTTTGTCCAACTTTAATTTTAATTGCTATTTTTTTTAAAGAGATTTTTTTTTAAAAAAATGATGCGATTTAAATGTCTGACGCAAGCATGGCTCATATCCCACCAACCATTTGTCAGAAAAAATAAGTAAATCACTAAACCCAATCCCCTTTATGTCCTTGCATAATGCTTGAAAGATCCCTATTATGTTGCATAAGTATTAATGTAATAATAATCTATATGTGATATTTTTTCAGCCTTCGAAAATTTCAGGAAATACAGATTCAACCTTGACTCGACATCGTATCTATTTAAAGGTAAGTAATGTAAAAGAAGAGTTTAATAATTTTCGTGTTCATATTAACCGGCATTTATATAAACTTCAAGAAAACACAAAGAATACGCTATATAAATAAAGTCATATATTAATAGCAAACGTCATTTCGTATAATTAAAAGAAATTGCTTTCAGAACTCAGCATATATGTCAAAAACTTAAAACAACATTTATGTCAAAAACTCAAACAATAAAACAGTAGTTACAAACTCAAAAAATAAAACAGTAGTTACAAACTCAAACAATAAAACAGTAGTTACAAACTCAAAAAATAGAACGAAGCGTAAAGTGTGAAGTGAAACATAATCTGAAGTTTAAATTAAATCTTCATTTAATCTAGTCTAGAAAAAAACGTGTAAAGTAAAGCGTAATGAATAGTAGAATGCGTGTAAAGTAGATATGAATAATAGTGTAAAAAATATGATAAATAGTGTAAAAAAAATAATAAGTAAAGTGTAAAAAGTAAAGTCTGTATGCATGAGAAAAGTACCACCTAAAAAAAACACATAAAATATAACGTGAAAAGTAAATGTAATGCGTAAAAGTAACTCAAAGAGAAAAATGGCGCGTTAAATATATTGTAAAGAACAGCATGAAGTTTAGGGTAAATAATAGTGATATAGCGCATAAAAGAAATAGTAGCGCATAAAAGAAAAGGTAACACATAAGAAAAGCAGGCAAGTAAAACCAACGCATAAAGTAAAAGTCATATATAAGTAAAAAAAAAAAAAAAACTCTTTAAAGTAAGGTATAGAAGCATCGTGTGAAATACAATAAAGCGTAAAAGAAACAAATCATTTTTATGAGTAAGAAAAATTAACACGTTAAGAAAGGCGCCAAAATAACGCATAAGAAAAATACAAGTAACCTACAAAAGAGTTATGCATTAAGAAAAATGACATATAAAGTAGATAGTGTGTAAATTAAAGAAAAAACCAATTTGAAGGGTAAAAGTAATGCATAAAAATAAAGGGGAAAAAATAACGCTTAAGAAGTGCAATAACGTAAATGTATTGCATAAAGAAAAATAACCTGTAAAATGTACAGTAAAGCATAGCGTAAAGAATATTAAAAAAAAAAAACCATGGAAGTAATGCATAAGAAAGGAAAATGAGTAAAAGTAACACATTAAGAAAAATGAGGCGTAAAATAATACTAACGCGTAAGTTTAAAAGTGACGTATAAGATTAGTAATCGCGTAAAAGCAACGCCATACCTGCCAACTCCTCCGGATTTTCCGGAAGATTTTATTTTCATATTTAAAGTGGTAGCAATACTCAGATTATTCCAATTAACTTTTTGAATTATAATGATAATTATAGATGAGTCTGACCACCACTACATATAAATAATTACAATAAATATATGAAAGCATAATAATCTTTACGCAAGCAATTTTCGACGGGATCAAAATATAAATATATTTTTGAATCAGATTGATTTTCGGTTATTGTTTTACAACCACTCTGAAAATCCATTCTCGGAAGGAGTGAAAGTTGGCAGGTATGCAACGCATAAAGAAAGATAACGAGTAAATTACAATGCATATAACGAGTAAAATGGTTACAGGAATGCGAAATAAAAATGAACTGGTAAATCTAACGCTTCAGAAAAGTGAAAAGATCGCATGAAAAAAAATTCCGCTTAAGGAAACTTAAATAATAACACAGAATAATAAAGCCTAAGTAATGTAATCTAGTAAAAGCAATGCATAATGAAGTAATATGTAAAATATATATCTAATGGAAAAGGGTAAAGGATACGAAAAGCAAATGCATAAAATATAGAGTAAAAGAAAGTGTAAAATCTGGAGTAAAGAATAGAGCAACGCATATAAGTAAAAGTAACACAAAAGAGAAAATAACGCGTGAAAGTATTGCGTTACAAAACGAAACGCGTAAATATGACGTTTAGTAAATATTTGAATGATTTAAAAGAAAGTACCTTTATATAAAATCTTCGATGCGGTAAAAGTTAAAGTATCGACAAAAAAAGAAAAAAAAAATCAAACAAATTGCTAAGTAGGGAATACTTTTATCTTTTAATAAGCAAATAACTAGTTTTATGGGGGGGGGAGAATAAACAGTTTGTTCGTTAAGTAGTTTTAAAGGAGTTTAAAATCAATAACAAATCGTTTTTGAGGATCTTCAGGCTTTCATTCCTGAAGCATAATAATTAGCTTTTTACCACTTATTGCACGATTAATAATCACGCACTTTGTTTTCCAATCAATATGTACTCAATAATATCGATTGAAAGGTGGGGAAAACACAAAACAAACTATCGATATTTTATTTAATGGTATATGCATTTTAAATATTTCAAGTACGCTTTATATGGATGTGTAAACTATTAAGAGCATATAGCACAAGAATAAACATCATACCTCTATGCTAAGGTTTAGTGTGTGGAAACTAAAACTTTTTTTTGTACAATCATAAAAATGTACTCACGAAAAACAAAATACTTGTAGAACACGGCACGCAAAAAATGGATCTTGCTTCTCATTCCATTGTCTTTGCTTGTTTTTTTTTTTAAAAAAAAATATGAATAAAAAACCTGTAAAAGCCTGCATTTCATTATTTTATGTGAAATTATCCATTCATTAAAGATCTGAAATTTTAACCATTTTTCCCCCAATCATTATAACCCCAACAGTATCGATATAAAGGTGTGGAAAGAAAGACTACAATAATTTTATTTATTGGCATATATAATTAAACTATTTCAAATACACATTTAATTATTCAAGTATGCATAAAACTATTTCAAACGCGCATTTTGCAGGCATTTCGTTTATCATATTTTTAGAAGAAAATGATGAATAAAATGACTGTATAAGCCTGCATTTGATTATTCTTGGAATCTATTTCATTTATTAAAGATCTGAAACAAAAGTAAAAACTAATCGTTCTGTTTTGCATTCATCAATTTCCTGATAGCTCGTTTATTTTCTTAAATATCAGGAATTTTTACTATTCAGTTTTTAACCTGATAACTATCGTATCGTAGACTAACATGTGTGTAAGCAATTAGTATAATACTGGAAAGTAATAATGATTTTTATGACTGAAAGCTTACAAACTATTTAGCATTAAAATTTTTTTAAAAAAATAATGATCTACACATAAGTAAAAAAAAAAAAACTCGTTCTCATTAGGAAGAATAGACAATTTTCCTTGTCAATTCGGATTATTTATTCTCTGTAAGCTTTCAAGACCTGACTTGACTTAATGAATCTAAACTAATTTTCAACCTGAAAATCGACATGGCAAAATATTCCCACTCATTCCAAAAGAATGTTTTTTAAAAAAAACTTCATTCATCTTTCGAAGAACAGCGAACTTAACTTACCAACTCAATATTTTCCATACTCTGTTAGTCACCAAGAACTGACCTAATTCAAAGAACTTTAGCCTGACTTTCACCCGAAGATGACTTTCCAAAAAATGGTGGCATATTTTCCATCTAAACTTAGAATCGCAGTTCTACCCAATTTGAAAGCCTTAGAAATTAAAAGAATCAACTACACAACTATTATCTCGGGTGTTGAAGCAGAATTTCTAAAACTATTATCGCACAAATTAAATTTCGAATATGAGATTCTTGCTCCCTCAGATAATTCCTACGGTTTCAAGGATACATTTGGAAACTGGACTGGAATAGTCGGAATGCTCCAAAGGAATGAAGCCGACATGGCCATCTCGCTAATAGGTATCACAGAAGAGAGGTCATCTGTAGTGGACTTTAGCTTACCTTACCTCTATCTCGAAAAAACCTTTATGATGAATCATGCTGCATTCTTGCCCAAAACGTCTGCTTTCTTGTATCCTTTCAGCACATTCACATGGATTTTATTCTGGATCGCACTGCTCTTTGTGACAGTGCTATTTCGAGCTCTGATTTCGCCACAAAATTCCATTATTACCGTTTTTCTCAAATTGTGGGGATCTTCTTTCGGTCAAGGAATGAACTACAACCCTCGTTCAATGTCCAGGCGGATACCGCTTGGAATTTGGTTAGTTTATTCATATGTTCTGATTCTATGTTACAGCTCAGTCCTGTTGTCATTTTTGACATCCCCCATCAGAATGAAACAAATAAAAGATTTCAAGGATCTCTACACCGCAATCAGAGAGGGGAAAATGGAGTGCCGAGCAGAGATTCGAACACTGGAAGCAGATTATTTGTCGAAAAGCAATATACCCCATTTCAAAGGATTAGGAGAATACATTAAAAGGAATGAATGGTATTTTCAATCTCGTGTTAACGCAACTGTTCCAGAAAACGTAGCAGTACTTGGGTCACCCTTTCTATTTAGCATGGCTTTTGGGTCACCTGAAATGTATTTTTATTCGAAGGACGTCTTTGGAAATTTTCCGTTCGGGGTTGCAATCAGGAAAGACTTTTGCTGCAAAGAGCACTTCAATACAATCCTACTTCGAATTTTAAGTGGTGGCTTGTATAATAAATTAATGGACAATTTCCTCTTTAAATTTGAAGTCTTAAAAAAATTAAACTTTGACCATTCTCAAAGAACATCAGCATCAGTTTTAAAGCTATCAGATTTAAGTGGAGTGTTTGTTATTCTTGGTATAGGTTGGACAGCTGGTATTTTTGCTTTGATAATGGAAATCGCCTACAATCGATGGTTACGCTAAAAACCTCAGTAAACCTGAAATGCAAATGATTTTCTGCTTATATAGTCTCACTGCACTATCACTTTTTTTCAATTTCAAGCATATTATTACAATAAGGTTTTAAATTCGATTTTACTAAATCATATTTTAACCCTGAGACCAGATTTCCATGACATAATCTTGCATAACTAAAATGAACCACATTATACTCAAAACTCTTTTATTTACTAGAGAACAATTGCTTAAATTTTAACTTTCCAACATCGTACCTTCTCTAATTTGTAAAAAAGAAAAGAAAAAAATATTGTTTTAGGTACAGTCTAGCGGATAAATTAGGAAGCTTTTCTCATCTTTTTTATTAATTTTCATTGTAATGTTTGAACATCCCCAGGACGTTAAAAATAGCTTGCATGCATAAAGCAGAACTTAAGTAATGTACAGATTATAAGATACACCATATATAAATGTTAAACAACTTATCCGGTTTTGTTCTACTTGGTTCTTCGTTAGCTAACTATTGTTTGAAGCTTAGACTGACAATTTGTTCAAAACGTAGCGCAGTCGTCTAAATCGTACACCGTTCTTGTGAAGTCTTAAAATGGAGCCCAGTACGATTTGTGATCACTATGTCAACTTCAACTATTGAACTTATAGATTTTCTGACCATTTAAACTGTACTGCACCCAGACTGTGAACAAATGTGTCGAAGAACTCTTTCTGAGCACCCAATACCAAATTTCTCATAACGTAAGTCAGGCTTATGACAACAATTGAGAACTCTGCTTTGAAGGATTTAACTGTTCTGGCTTCAATTAAACTTACTTTTTGATACCAGAAAACCTGAATCATCCGGAAAGAAACAAAACTCATTCAGTACACTCGAATCCTCATGATGAGGTTTAATTACCAGAAAAGGAAATGTAATAAAAAAAGCCCATCTAAGTGATAAACTTTCTATCTGATTAGTAAAGTAATGATATAGTAATTAGTAATGTAATTTACGTTGCTGGGTTACCCACCTGTTCCAGTAGCCATGTCAAAGGCTTCAATATAACAAATTTCTACATTTCATAAACCTAAAACGAAAGAAATTATTTATGCATCCCAAAATGATGCAGCTTTAACCAGCTGCACTTTAAAAAGTCACGCTTGAACATTATAGCACGTAACATCATGTTCCTTAGCATTTTATAGGCTTATAATACTGTTACTATGCTTATAATAATTAAAAGAATTAATATCACTTTTGTATTATGCTATTAAACAATTGATATATATTAAGTAAGTTCTACTTATTCACTTAATCGTATAAACTCTATAGTTCTGATGTTGAATCCGAATTAGATAACTTGTATCCTAAACCGTACCTCTAGCAAACCTCGGGAAAAAAATAATTTTCCGTACTTACTGCACATATATTTTAACCAAAAAATAATTTAAGTAGCTGCATTCATTTTATTGTTAAAATATTTCTAACATTATTGTTAATGATTTGTGAATGATAAACAATTATATGTGGAAAGTGGTACGATTTCCACAAGTTTCCTATGTTATATTTATTATGAAATAAACTTTCATTCTGATTTTTTTAAAACTATATTTAAAGTTTTTATTTATTTATTATTATTATGAAATGAACTTTATAAGTATTTACTTATTTATCCATTATATAGTACCATATCCTACAGTGATATTGTTTTTCATCAAGTTAACATTGTGTATCAGATAATACTTCGGCGAGAAATCGGTTGCGTGTATTATAAGTCTGCATGTTTAGTTAAATCTGTCGCCAAAGATAACAAAAAGGAGAAATGCTAAATTTAAACATAACTTTAATGAAAACTTAACAACAAAATTAAAAACGAGCAAGAACAATCGAGCAAGTAATAACTGATGAAAAACATAAAGCAGATTGCGAAAAGAGAAAAGAAAAGTAAAAAGTAAAGAAAAGAACAAAGTATCACGATGGTTTCGATGGTAACGGAGTTTCACGATGATCACATTTTATTTCTTGAGCTTCAGTTCAGTTCAAAGAGATTACGAAAAATACTTTGAGCGTATGTTGAAATTTTCAGGTTCGCCAGAACATGAACTTCTCGAATCAAGTACGATGATTTCACCACAATACTGTCTGCAGAAACGCCAGTGACGAATCTAAAAAGAAATTTTCTTTAACATAATACGCAAAACCTCATTTCACTTTAGAATAGTTTTTTTTCTTCATCTAGTTTGTATCCTTATATAGGTACCGTTCTTTCAAATATCTAATACAGTCATTCACTTATTTCTCACGTCTAGTTTAGAAAGCTGATGACTCTTCACTTTGTTCATAATCATGATGCAACCTACTCACTATATCAAAAAGTACGAGTTATTTCGGAAATTCTTTTTTTGACTTAAAGACTCATTGATATATGAGCATATATTGCATGAGCATGTATTACACAAATTTACTAAATATCTTTCAGAAATATCTTAAATTTAAATGTCAATTTCATTCATAGCTTTTTATTATTAGGAACTATTGCTCCAAAACATAAAGAGTAGTACCTCAAAATGACGAGAAATTTTATACAAAAAAAAATGTTTTTTAAAAGGAATTTTAAGTAACAATACAAGTAATAATTTTTTTCATCAAATGTTACACTGCTTTTTATGTAATTAATCAATGTGCGCAGCGGATGGATCGTATAATCATGTAATCTAATAAAATAAAACACAAATCTAAGTGATTTTAAATAGTTTAATAGTTTTGTATAAAATGAATAAATACAAAAAATACAGAATGAAAATATGAAATAATTGTTCTGAAATGTAAGATCTAGTCCAAATTTCTGTAAATTATCATTTTTGCATATTTATGTAATGTATCATTTCAAAGTTAAAATAAATAAATAAAAATATATAAGAAATAGTGAAATTGAAAAGTATTTAAGGTTATTAAAAGTGCAATATTGAGGGGGGGGCATTTTATTTTGCCCACCGATTGACATAGCGATTGAGAAAGCGGGACGAATAATTCTTTGCTCTATTGTTCCTAATTTTAAATAAAACCAAGTTGCATAAGAAATAAAACATTATTGCCCAATTTGAAATAAAAATCATATTAGAAAACTAAAAATTTATTTGATTAGTTATGAAAAGATTTAAAAGTGAAAGCAGTGAATCATGAATTTCCCTAAAAATGTCACTTACCTGGTTTTTCCTTCAAGTTCTTTAATTGGGTTGGTATATGCTTTTGAGTTATGAGCATGATTTTGCAGTGTTTATCTACTATGATTTAATGATTCTTTAATTTTTTTTAATTCACCCCGTGCGAAGAGCGGGTATTCAGCTATTATCTATATATGTAAAAAGGAATGTTTATGTATCCTTTATAGAGTCCTAAACTATCCGACTGAAAGCGATGAAATTTGGCATACAGGTAGTTTGAAGCTAGAGGAAGGTCACTATCGACGTTCGAAAAGAGGTCGACAAACCGTTCGAGTGGGATGGGAGAAAAACGAAATGGAATTTTCTGATTGGTTAAGTGTAGGCCATTGTTTTAAATTTAACCATAGAAAATTCAATTTTTCAAACATTTTGAAGATATCATCAATGATATTTGCCTGTTTAGAGCTCTTTTTGATCGAAAAAAAGTTTATCTCCCATACTTTAATATTTAATTGTTTTTTATTCGCTGTGTCAGATTAATTCAATGAACAACATTAACGAGGTAGCATTCGTGGATTACGTCAAAGAGTTAATATTCTAAGTTATCTTATGGCACGTGTTTATTTTGTTTATAGCAATTTTTTAATGGTTAAAGTGAAGAATCGTAAGGATCCTTGGTTTGGCGAAAAATTGCAAGTGTAATATTTCGCTGAAACTCAGTTTCTGATTACCATGATATTCTTTTCTTGTTGTCTCGACTTTTAATGACGTCAGCATTGGGTTATCGCAATTTATTTTTACCGTTATTGAATTGGTTTTCGGTTTATTTTCATACGTATATACATAGGTATATTTTCATATCACCAAATATCCTACATTTTAGACCTATTAAAATATGTTTCTATAAAAGTAAATATTGAAAAATCAACGGTAATTGAAATAATATATGAATAGTTATGTATTCAAAGGCAAAATTAATGGAAAAGTGATACTTTCGCTTTGGATTAACACAAAAACTCACCATACTGTTGCTAACGCAAATGATTCTTAGTTAATTTAGGTGATGTGGGCATATTGAAAGGCAAAATTCATCGAGTAAAGGTACTTATTTGTTTAGAGGAACCGTAAAAAATTCCCATACCATTGTTGACGGCAATGATTATCAATTAATGTTGATAATATGTATTTTATTTGATATTTTATAACCATCGTGGAATAGCCGACCCAATTTTGAGTTTACGACTTCAAATGTTCAAATTCGTAGCCTTGTAATTTTGAAATCAATCCAAAAGATAAAGAAACTTCTGGGATCAAGCATTGGGAGAAATTTGCCTTCTCGGTGGACATTTTGATGAAACTAACCCACATTTGCGCTACATTGAGAGAAAAACGGCTAGGGTGATCTAATCCATGATCCGTTTACCACTACATTTTACGTCAGCACTGTGGTTGGTGCGACCCAGGTGCGGAAGTCGAATCAGCCAGTCATTGCCGGGATTCGAACCCGGTTCACCTCATTGAGAGGCGATTGCTCTATCCCTTGAGTCACTACGTCTCGATAATATGTATTATTTGAAATTAAAAAAAAAATAACCTAGTTACTAAAAAGCAAAGTTTAAGGAGAAAAGAATGTATTTGCTTTAGGAATTTCATTCGCCATATTATTATTGATACTAATGCTTAATTAATGTTAGTAATATGTATTAATTGAAATGAAAAATATATGCTGCGTGCTAAAACGCAAAGTTAGCGCATAAAAGGTTAATGGGAAATCCATTTACATGTAAAAAATTACTGCAGCGATTTATTGTTCAGTCCTAGTTTCCATCCCTTGTTCGATGTAGAAAATCTTGATCAGCGAAAAAATA